AATAGTTAAATATTATAGGGTTAGGGTAGCTAGGTGATTTACTTATCTAGGTAACTTACTTATTAACTATATTAAAAGATATTATTAATATTAATTTCTAAAAAAATATAAAGTTTTTCTAATTTCTGAAAATATTAAAGTAAAATAACTTAATAGTAAACTTAATTATCATTGTTAACTATCTTAATTAAGCTTATAACTTATTTAGTACTTTAATAATTTTTATAATAATAAGAAAAACTATAACTAAGCTATACTAGTATCTTACTATACTAGATATAGACCTAATCTAAGTAAAAACCTACCTTCCTTTACAAAGTCTATCTATTATTATATTATAATCCCTAATATTTATTAGTAATTAGTAACTTTTTTATAATAAAGTACTAATTTACTATATAAAGCTATATCTTCTATTATTAATTAGTTAATTCTTTTATATAGGTATATTAAAAATTCATATTATCTATATATACCCCTAAGTAACTAATAAGCCCCTTTATTATTATTCTCTCTATAGTTATATTTTTTAGTATTTAGAAGATTTTTAGCCTTAATTATATTATAAGGTATTAGGTAATATAGTAGTTAGTATATGCTCTTTAACCTTTTACCTTAACCTAGACCTATAGTTACCTTAAACTTCTCCTATATAAGTTACTATAGTGCCTAGCTTTTAGGAAAAAAAGGGGTACCTCCGGCTAGATTTAAACTAACGATCTATGTGCTAACCTACACAGAACTCCCTAGTATTAAACCACTCTACTATAGAGGTAATAAACTTAATTAAAAAAAAAAGAAATTATTTTTATTAAATACAAGAACTTGAATAAAACGCTTCTTATAAGGCTATCCTTGCCGAAGGTATGAAAAGTAATATCCCTACCTAAATACTAAGAGCAGCTATCCTGGGGCGAGATCTGATGAGAGTAACAGTACTGACAAGTGTCGAAATCACGGCCTTGTTATTATGGGGAGTAGTATCACTTTACACCAGTATACCAGTTGAAACTTGATTATTGTAGCTGGACGCACGCACGGAGAACAAGGTGAGCCAAAAATAGCATGACCGCGCTGATCAGATGCTCAAAAAGCAGCCGTGGGCGCAGTGGAGTGTCTGGACCAACGCACTCCTGTTCTGCTTGCTCTGTGCGCACTGATGTCGATTCGGCTGGAGCCCATTGGCGCAGGTGGCGTTGGACGCTGGACGATCAGGTTATGCTGGTACGAAATATACAAACGACATGTGGTACGACGCGATGTGAGACAGTTACACCACAGAATGTTCGGTCGTAGATTACAAACGGATGATACTAGCAGGTAAATGGAGTGGAGAGGAGAGATATATGTAGAGAACGAAAAGGTAGAAGGCTACAGCTTCTCACCGGATAAGACACGGTACTGCTCTTTTCACCCATCTTGAGTATCTGGCAGGTTACTCTTCATCGCCAAAGAAAACCTTGACGGGCAACGAATCGTCAGTGAAGATCTTGAAGCGCTCGGTTACCCCATCGATTGCCTTGACCTCATCCTCGGTCAGGCTCCAGCCGTCAATATCAAAGTTGTCCTTAATGCGGGCCGGCGTAGCGCTCTTAGGGATGACACTCCAGCCCTTTTGGATGCCCCAGACGAGGAGCACCTGCTGGATTGTCTTGTTCTTGGCGTCGGCTAGCGCCTTGAGCTTTTTATTAGCGTAAAGCGGCGAGTTCGTCGAGCCTAGGCACGAGTAGGCGGTGCTGTGAATGCCCTTGGACGTGGCGTAGCTGATAAGCTTAGGCGAGGGGTTGCATGGATGTAGTTCAACCTGATTAACGGTAGGTACAATCTTCACTTGTTAGAAACATTCGTTTAGGAGTATGCTTATACCACACCTTGCAGCTAGCATCGTTCAAAAGAGTCTCGAGGTGTTTGATAGTAAAATTGGAAACGCCAATGTTCTTGACCTTACCAGTATCGACTAACTTTTGCATCTCGCGCCAGGTGTCAATAAAGTTCCAGTCATCAAAGACGGCCTGTTGGCCAGGAATCACCGAGACAGGCCAATGCATCAGGTATAAATTGACATAGTCGACACCGAGCTTAGCGAGAGACTCGTCGAGCGCCTCGGCGACTCGCTTGTGGTCTTCGTTAGAGAGCTTGGTGGTGAGCCAAATTTGGTCCCGAGGCACGCCCGAGGCCTTGATACCAGCACCAACCTCGGTCTCGTTACCGTACGCTGAGGCCGTGTCGATATGGCGGTAGCCGGCCTTCAGTGCAACCTCGATCGCGTTCGGCGATTTGACCTGCCAGGTGCCGAGGCCGATGGCGGGAATCTTGTCGCCCGTGTTGAGGATAAAAGTGTGACTGGGCCAGTTAGGGCGGGACGATGCAGAAAACGCATGTGAGAAAGAGGAGATCTCGAGGAGAGGAGCAGTAAATGGGCTGCGGTTGGCGCAGTGGTGATAAGAAGCATGGTTTGACGGGGAGGACGTACGCAGTGTTCTTAACGGCAGCCATCTTACGATGATTTGTGCAGGTACATTTAAAGTGGGGGAGAGAGTGAGGATGTAAGAGGAGAATAGCAAGAAAAAATAGGAGAGCAATGGCCTTAAAGAAATTCTTGGTGGCCGACTGTTTACGCTTTGCTCTCCTCTACTGGCGCGAGAACAATTATATTCCATCTTTCGCTCATAAAGGAAAATTTTAGCTCATCTGCCGGCAGTGAGTGTTCTACTGCAGAGATCATCACAAAGCGACCCGCTATATAAGGTTGATCATGCTATTATGACGTTTCAATAAGGATACTTACGTCCAACAGGTCTTTCTCCGCGGAGATTGATACTTCACGTCGCTTAATACATAGCCGTGTTGTGCATTTTCATACAAGGTATGGCTCTTGTTGGCTATAGTGCCCGCCTTCTGTACCGCTCACATGAATGATTACATATATAGGTTGAACGTACCTATATTTCAGCGCACTCGGCAGTGGAGAAGCAAAGAGGCAAACTTTTCGCGTCCTGCTGACATTGCTGTAGATATAGTCCATTGTAGAATTTATAATAGTCAATATCAGATCGGGCTCCATTAACCATTTGTTCTGTGCTATGTAAGCAACATTTCTAATGAAGTACAGTGATGTAGCGCAAGGTCCCGTAACTTCGGGATTACGGAAACCGACCGCCAGGTACAACATTCGTTTGGCGATATTTTCTTCTATGCCTTCGCTCAGCCGGGATAATGATGGGAATTTGGCGTCATTCCTCCCGTTCGTTTGTTCGGATTCGGTATCATGACCACTTCAGCGGTGCGCCACGAGCTAGGATGATAGCCTTGCTGGAGGCAGACGTTGTAGATATTTGCGACAAGGTAGCCTATTGCTGGCCAGAACCTCTTAAGAATATACACCATGATTCCACCGACATGCGTTGAGACGTTGCCAGTACTGAGAAGCCCGGAGTGAGCTTCCTTGTACGGGATTGTTTGATCAAAAAGGTTCCAAGCCTCAGTACAGACGGTTTTTGGAACCAAAGGTCGGCAATGCCGTGCCATACGCTGGCTGAATCCTCAGTAGCGGGTGTTCCGGCCCTCAGTTCAAGTCAGCGGGCAGATCTTGTCAACGAATATAGAGCAAGCTCGAGCTTTGAGCCTGGCCAAATTCACACGTCGAACAGCCAACGACAAAATTGCGGACCCATGGTCTCTCTGTGTCACACTAGAAACCTTGATTCCCTTTGACGAGCAAGCCGAGCTGCCTGCTGAAGAATCCGGCTGGTGCATTGAGAATATCCACACCAGGGGCCTCAATTCCGCCGACGCTGACTTAATGAGATTCGGATTGTAATGGAGACAGTGGAAAGAGTGTCACAGAGATGATGATTATCCACGATCTCATCTAGTATCTAGTGTAGTTTTGGATCCTGAGCTTTGACAAGTTAGTTGTCATAGATGAAGGGGTGAATAGCGCGAACATAAACTTGCACGAGCTGGGGAATCAGCCCTGATCGAAACCTACCCCTGCCAATCTCTGCTAGGGAAGGAGGTGAATACATGGCTGAATAGCTGTCGCGTGCACTGGCGTCATCAAGCTTCAGGAGCCGGCAGCGGGGGTTTGAGCCGTGAGTAGCCTAAGCACGAACATCCGAGAACAAGCAAGCCTATTATATCTATAATATTAGCTTAAATAATGGAGAAAAGTAGCTTAAATAATGGGGAAAGGCATTTTTATTACACGGTACTGCCTAACCAGGCAGATCGCGGTAGGCAAGGGCCACCCACTTTAATGTACAATGTGGCTATTCTCAGCCCTGCGACGGGTAAGTTTTTATCCCTTGAGGCCGGTAATCCTTTTAAAGAGATTCCGATATATCGTGTGCTGTGATGTGTGCGGTACTTCCTAAAGGGAGACCAACTCGATGAACCGATCGCTTGGGAGTGTGACTGGGAGTTCTGCTGCTTTGCAACCCAGGTGTCCTGCACCGTCATCGGGTTTCCCATTACAACTCCTATTCTGCGACATGATTTTCGACAGTCAAAGACGGAGCAAGGGCTCCAGGAACGAGACAGACTACAAGGGTATAACACGTAGCACATTTATTTTGAAACATCCTCCTTTAAAGGAGAACAAACTTGCTTATTACTGGAAAAGTATTCGGCCGTTTTAAGTACAATGCTAAGACCACCTCTTCGTAGGTAGCGCAGCATCTACGCTTTCCGTGGCAAATATCGCCACGCAACCTCTGCCTTTCAGAGAAAAAACCACTGCCTTAACTAGTCCCGCACCGAAACCCAGAAACCATGGTGTCCGGCCTACGGTCAACTTCGAGCGCAATCTTAGACGGATTAACTAGATGACTGTCTCCTCGCATTGACGGACTCTGGCCTGCACGATACAAGTCAGTTTTGGCTCTGGCAACAGGGTGAGGGTGAATTTAATAGACGCAATGACTTCACATGATGACAGCCGTCTCTGAAACTGCTCTCCGACGCGTACAAGTATTACCGCTCCACTTGCAGCCAGCCAGGTTCTTCAAAGAACGTCTGATCCTGCTCTCTTAGCTCCACAGAGAAGATTAGCCAGAAACATCGTCGCGCTGCCAAGCATGATACAAAAAGGGCTGAGCAATTTTACCTCGGATCCTCGGAAGTCAAGTCCGACCAACCGTCACGGTCCATCGGGTGGAGCTCCGACGGATGCGGCTCCGACGGAAGCTAACCCGAATACGCAATAGCATCCCTTGATCGACGCAGCGAGGCACATTCTAATTAGTCTAATCTACCCTAGTTGTATCGAAAGGCTCCTAAGCTATATAACTATAAAGGTATAGCTAAAAATAGCTATATAATAATAAGATGAAACTTACGATAATTGACACCTAGCTAGGCTTTCAAAACTGCTAGGTATAAGCCGGCCCTGGAAAAAGTGCTTGTACTGGGTTCCGGGAGTAACATCTCCGTCACTAGTTATATAATTATAATGTTCTAAATGTTATTCGCGAGCTCTAAAATCTAAACTTACAGACATTTAGTTGAAAGGTCGGACAAGGATGTCACTCTATACATGTACTTTGAGATTCTATAGAACAAAGTATCGAGAGATATTGTGGTGCTGTGTATTTACAGTGGCCTCTACTATGAACGAGCGGAACCGAGCATTCTGGAAGAATGCTTAGTGTGTTGCTGAATCTGACAAGAAGTAATGAAAAGAAAGCTCATTACAAAAGAAGTAACGCCAATGCCAATATTTCTTCGAAGAAAGCAGCCTCCGCCTCGAGCTCGAGAATTTCAGCAGCCTCCATAGCTTTAACTTCTAAGGCCTCGGCAGGTTCAAACCCTCCAAGTGCCCCAGCAGCCTCGGTAGCTTCCATTGCCGTAGTAGCCTCGGCAATATTGTTTGCCTCGATGATATCGACAGACTAAACCCTCTCCAGCTTCTCCAACTTGCAGCCTTCCAGTGAGGTCCCTGACACCCAAAGGGTCTGCTTTCACGAATACCTGCTCCTCACGAATCAATTCCACACACCCAGAGCCCCCTCTCTTGCAGATATTTGGTAGTTTCAGGTCAGGTGCGACTTCGTCAAGCGTCTTTTTGTAGTATGGCTCGAGTTTATCGTGATCAAACTTATCGAATGGTGGAATCTTGCGCAGACTTTTCTTTGGTAATCCGGGTTTTGGTATGCCTGTTTTTCTTTTTCCAAAACCGGCAAGCTGATGCTGTGCTCCACTGCTTCGCATATTAAGGTATTTTGGATCGAACTCTGGATTGGGTTCAAACAGCTCCTCAAGCTTCTCGCCATTCTTCAATTTTTCGATATGGTCAGGTGTCAGCGCACTCGCTGAATACCAGCCCTCGATCTGTTGCCAGGGAACACCTTCCAGGACTGCGTATTCAGACTGCTCCACATATTGCGGAATCATATTTTCTGGCTTGAGTGTCTTAACCACATCAATCATTTTGGGGTCTGTGCTGATTCTGTAAACGTATCCGGATTCCCCCGTGTTGATGTTGATTGCAAACTCTTTGGCGATTTGAGGCTCCGTAGTTGTTCAAACGTAACGAGTATAGTCTTTCGTGACCCCCTCATGATGAAAGAATAAGCTGTAGGCTTTATTCTGCTCCGCATCTGTCAATTCTTTGGCATATCTAAGACCTTTGCACCACGAACCCCCTTCTGTGCGAATAATGTCTGGTGACCTCATGTCGCCGCGGAAGACTGTCGACGGCGAGTCCTCGTTGGCACGCTGAAGTATGTGACCGTCTCCCCACTCAAGAAGGAGCAGGAAACGCACAAAAAATGGTGTAAAACTGGCTGCGCATAACGGCGAAAGGGGGGATATACGAATACTAAAGATGTAGGTTGAAACAGTTGCGATTCGCTAATTCTGGAGCTCGTCAATGAGACAATTAAAGATCGTATGTGAGCGATTCTCTACCTCCATTCAGAATGCGGTCTTAGTCTATATATACCTGAAAGGCAAAATACTGGAAAGAAGAACACGTCGAAAAATTGGAATTGAGTCTTTTTGCGAGATTGAAGAGGAGCCTTTGCTTGGCGTTGCAATGGCCATCGTATGACTGTTTTGATTGTAGGAGGTGTGGTGCCAGAAAACAGCTTCTTCGAGCCTGCAAATATTTTATCAAGTGTGTACATATCAATCAGTGTCTCGGCAATTGAAGGTCTCTCATGGAGTAATGCTATCGCGTCGCATGAAGAGTGGCAAGGCATCTTCCTCGCTCCTCCACTGTAGTGCTTGTGACGGCGTCTGACTCGTTAACCGCACTAAACTTCTTATTGAGCCAACATATGTCATCAAATGACTTTGAATGGCTGATATGCCGGGCCCACGAAAACTCATTGAGCGTTCACGTATTCTCGGAGTACGCGATAAGATTGACAGCTGCGCCTGCGTCTGCTTCTCGGATTTAGTCGGTCTACTTCCTGAAGCGTTGTTGTTCAGGCAAGGCTCCGTATTAGAAAAGTCATGCGGACGAGATTGTGCTATCAAAGAAAGATTGGATATACCCATCACGTTCGCTGTTTAACAGGGTCTACACCTTTGTTCTTTTCTGCTATATATACAGCCGTGAGTGTGACTTTCTCCCTTCCTGATGACCAATCACCACATATTACTAAAGCTTGAAAACTTACATCCAGTCGCGCGACAGGCATCATGAAATTATTTGGCACAGTACTGGTCTTGTGCAACTGCTTACTTTTGGGTGCGAGCCTTGCCCAAGCACGAGTTTCTATCCCCGCGAAAGCAGCCTTCGATGTTTCCACTTTGGGTGACTCTGTGGTCGTCGATGCACGTTCAGACATTGGCCAGGCCATACAGAACGGGACTCAAAAGCTCAACTGCCAGCTCTTACTTCGGCGGGAATCAGTCGATTGCACGGGAATTTCGTCTAAGGCTTGCGACTTGGTCAGCTGGATCCATAAGGTGAGTTATATCCATGCTCTCGTTGAGAGTATGTCAGGGAACGAGCTAATTTTCACATCAGGGCTGTCAGAAAGTATCCTGCTATCTTCCAATAACCGCACTTTCAAAGCTTTCACGAGCTAATCTTTCAAACAGCAAGCGGCGTGTGCGTCCAAAACGGGCAACGACGCGAAAAGATGTTGTGATGACGAGGAGCGTCTTCCTTTCGGCGTAGGTCCTTTTAAACACGTCAAGATATAGAGAAGCAAAACTCATGCGAGACAGGGAGGGGTGTATTACAATGGATACTTGAGAGCTTGCGCGCCTCAGTATCAACTCAAACGTTTTGATCGCCCGCAATTTCCCGATCGGCCATGTAATGCGGACTATGGCTGCCGCCTTGGTATGAGCAAATGGCTCTGCGATATGCGGAACTGGGAACAAGCCGTAAGACCAACAGCACCCTTCTCTCGTTTACTGGGGATATAAGACAACAGCTGACATGCGCATTTCCAATCTTCTCCGTCAAACAGGGTTGTGAACAGCGGAAAGTTTGTGATAACCCAATCAGAAGCGGAAAGGAGTTGCATGAGTGCTGCAGGAAGTGGCCAAAGACACCACAGGTATATGATGCAGCTTGGATTCAGACTCGCGCGAATTGACTAACAAAAGCACTCAAACAGGGGTTATTCTCCAAATTCTATCTACATCGTTTCAATCTCAAGTGTCCACAACAGGCGGACGGCAGGTTGAGCGTTGCGAATTCATCTGACGGCGACGTCAACTTTAGATACATGGGCATTGAGGCCGCTGAAGGGAACGAGATCCGCGTATTCAAGGTATACGAGGCGCCGGTTCATACTGGCGAGAAACCTTCAAGTGTGGGATGGATCAAGGTCAAGAAAGCGAAGGGTATGGTGAAGCTTTCGTCATTTTCGAAGAACAAGATCAAACCTGGCAAGAAATATACCGCAGTTGTGCTGCGGCGCCCCGACTACGACTGGCTCGCTCCGCCTGTCAACTTCACTATGCCATGGGATGGGCTGCTGGCCGGCAAACCTAGCAGTAAAAATATGCCCGGTGAGGACGTTGTGTCCAATGAAACCTACGGGCATTGACTCCAGTCAAGCAGGGAACTAGGCCGGCATGTTCGGATCGCACGAGACGCCGGTGATCTTCGAATGTGGGATGAATCATGGTCAAGAACGCGGCGGTACGGTGAAGCTTTCGTCATTTCGGACAGAAAGCTAGATTCTGTCAGGAATTATGGGCACCGCGATGTGGCGCGACTGCTATGACTGGCTTCAAGTTCGAGGTGATTGGAAGTTGGGGGTTATGCTAGAAGGTGAATCAGGGTCGGAGGCCGTGTTCCACCTGAGCAAATAGAAATTGAGGCTGTTCGCCACACCCGACCGTCGGATAAGACAATGCATATATAAATAGATATTAGTTGGGATCAGTGGAAATATAAAACCGCCTCACAAACCTGCCGCCGGCCGGCTGATCTCCTCATGATTATCTGCTTCAATGCACCGTCGGATGTGACTTGAGTGCATGCTATCAAAAAAATTCAGAATAAGAGCGGCTGCCTCTATATCAGTTTGGAACGGTGAGATACTATCGTCTGCTATAATCCGTCGAAAAACTTCCTTCGACTCCTCATCTCGAGGCTTTAGCTGTGGAATAAAATAACACAAGCTAGCCAGCGCCATAATACTCTACAAACTAGTTCTACAAGGCCTACATTTGAATTTAAAGTATTTTACTACTTAATGTAATGATATAGGCGATCTAATTGTTTATAAGCTAATGTAATAAAGAGTTCATGTGCTTACACAACGCACCAGGTTTCAAAGCGGGGTTAGGATCAACGTGGCTATATGACGCCCTCTGTCTACATAGTTCTAGCAGCGGTTGTAAACTAGCCCCTATCCTCCGAAAAATCGATGAACTCTAGTAACGATGATGACAAGGAGCTATCGCTTCATGAACTCAGTGTTCATTACCAGGCACCCATCGTCTCGCAGCTCGTCAGTATAGGAAGCGAGTGCAATCAACTACAGCATGTCAAGTTTCGCTCCTTCGTCAGCCGCCTTCAGTGTCTCGAGCCGGAAGGTATAGAGCTACGCCGAACGTCTATTAACGCCTTTCGCCAGCAAAATTATCTTGCACTATCCTATACCTGGGAACCTTCGGAGTACGAATGTACGGGATCTGGCTGGTACAACGTTGAGGACTGGGATCACAACCATCTCAGTCCTTCAAAAGTCCGGAACTGCGTCCTTGGCCGCGTTCTCAGCTACATGCGCTACGCCGAAGTCCAGTTTATCTGGATCGACGCCCACTGTATCCGCCAAGACACATGCGGCGCTGCCGCTTGCGCCCGTCACACCAGCTGTATTCAACAACGCAATGCTTTTCAGGCTATGGACCTCGTCTACCAGCTCAGCGAGCACCCTGTTGCTCTTCTGGGACGTCCCTTGCGAGTCGGAACCGACCTGCATCTGCTCGCACAAATCCTCTCAGGTGCCTTTGTTGACAACTCCACATGTCGACTCTCGAGCACCACTACGATTCCTGCGGCAAGGAAGGCATTGTGGCTGCTCCGCGAAATCACTCGAGACGTCTGGTGGACCCGCGCCTGGACTTTCCAGGAGAACTATCGTGGCGGGCAGCGGATGCGACTACTTATTCCCCATGATCCGTCTCTAGAGGAGCAGAAGCTACGTCTTGAGATTTTTGATAAAATACCCGAGGAATTATGCATACAATCCGTCGCCTTCTCCACGGAAGCGACACGGCTGTGCCTGGCACTTCGCGAAGTGGCGGGGGCGCTGGCACCGGACGGCGTTTGCTGGATTGATGAAGTTCTCCGAGCGGCTGGAAGATATGCGCTCGTTCTGCCCGAGACGAGCGCAATGACACCAACAGTAGTCGCTGACATCGAGGCGCGCTTGTTGACGGAGCCGTGGGACCGACTGGCCATCCTTGCAAATTGCTGTCAGTACTCGGTGCGGTTAGACGGTCAAGCACTCAGCCAGAAAGGGCACAGCCTTAGTCTGTCGATGCTAGCCATGTGTTTGCTCAATGGCGAGATTCTCAACAACGACGACGACGGCCTGCCCCCCATCACTTCGATGACGACATCAGAATTCCTCGGACAATATCTATTTAAAGAGTTCAGCGCGCCTACAGATGATACTCGGCGGCTAACATTTAACAAGGGTTGCCGACTTACCAACGTGGATTTAACAGTGGAGGGGATCTCGACATACGGGCATATATGGAGATTAGGCCGCATTATTGACACCTCATTGTTTTCGTGGGAGCTCCCATGGATCAATGAACCAAACGGCCGACTCGAACTAAATGAGCGGAAACGCCTGTTGCAGTTGGTGATCTGTTTATATAAGCTAGAGCACCGTAATCTTGCTGGACACATTGATGGATACCTTGCTACCGACGCCGAGGCTGAGGAGGGCTACGTCGACTTTACTGACATGCATTTCCACCATATGGCTATCGAACTAGCAACAGCAATTCAGGCGGGCCAGAAGCTGAGGCTAGGCTGTATCTGGGATCCCACAGGGAAGTCCTCAGCTTACACTGCCATCTTCGTGGGGTCTAGCGAGGAAGAGTACGACGTGGTACGCCCGACGCCGGCATATGTGTTCACCTCAGCCTGGTTTCGTGATCAGGGCTCCGATACTCACGACGCTAACGACATTGACCGCCACGTCTCGCTTGAGGTTGTCTTCGACGGACGCCTAGACTGTAACGGTGTGCCGCGCCTCCGCACCCGCACATGGCGGCTCGGCATGTGCTTCTTCCAAGGTGTTCCGCGCACTAAAGTGGTGTTCCCCTGGCCACGAGCTCTGCAAGACGTCAAACCGTGAAGATTCAGCGACGTGTCGTAAGTATAAGGTGTTATTAGGTTAGGTAAATTATTAGCTTAAGGTTAATTAAGCATTATTAAGTTTACTAATTCTTTATATTAGTTATATTAAATAATAATTATTATAAGACTATTTAGTCTTAATTCTAATTATTTATAATTATCTTTTAAGTAAATTTATAGCTTTTTTTAATATTAAAGCTAATATATAAATAAAAAATAAGTTTCTTTTAGATCCTAGCTAATAAAAAGGCTATATTTAAGTATATACTTTAGTAAATATTATATATCTTTTTCTTTATAGGTTTATAAGTTTATTAGAATATTAAGAATTATAATTAGATAAATATTTTAATTTTTTCTTTTTAGTTTTATAATTTCCTAAAAGATTAAATTTATATTAAATTTTATTTATTAAATCTTAAAAAGAAAAGTATATTCTAAAATATATTAAATAATTAATTATTATATATAAACTAATATAAGATTTAAAGAGAATTATAAAATGTTTATAATATTATAATATATACATATATAAAGACTAAGATATTATATTAATATTATATTAGTAAGGTATTATATATTATTATTTCTTTAACAAGGTATTATTATATCTTTAGTAATATTTATTATTAATAATAATATATAATTAATATAAAATTAAAATTAGTATATATTATATTAAAATTAATAAATTTATTTTTATATTTAATTTAGCAAATTTATTAATTTAAAAAACTAAAATTAAATAATCTTTTTTAATTTAATTTATAAGACTTTCTTTTATAATATATAAATATAAAAAGAACCTATTAATTATTTATTAAATATAATAATAATATAGTTAATAAGTAAGTAATATAAATAAGTAAATAGTATATCTTTACTAACTTATTACCCTTTAACTATT